GTGTGTGTGTGTGCGTGCGTGCGTGTGTGTGTGCGTGTGTGTGTGTGTGTGTGCGTGCGTGCGTGCGTGTATTTGTGTGCGTGTGTGCATGTGTGTGTGTGTTGCTCACGCACATGCACATGTGCTTTGCGCGGCAGGACGATGCATGAGGGTTAAACACAAGGGAAGGCCGCACCCCCCCGCCACCGACCGACCCAAACCGCGCCCAGCGCGGCGGCAAGCCCTGGCGCGCGATGCGGCCGACAGCTGGGGCCGGCTCAGGGTTGGTTCCAGTGTTTAGGGGGAGGGAGCGCAGGCGCATCAGGCGTGATGGGCCCCGCCCACCTCGAAGCGTGCGTTGAGCACCTCCACCCGGGTCTCAAGCTCCAGGTACTCACACGCCCTCTCATACAGCACCTTTGTGGGGGGGGAGGGCGCGTGTGTGTGTGTGTGTGTGTGTGTGTGCGTGTGTGTGTTTGTAGTGGGAGCACAGCGGTGGGGAGGATGTGTTGTTGGCGAGGCACGCTGTGGCCGGAGTTGAGATGCCCCGCAGCGGGACGGCGGGGTGCATCAACAAAGAGCGTCGCCGAGCCTCCCCTGCCTGCAAGCTGCAGAGCACAGGCTGAAAAAGGGGAGACGGGGCTGCAGGGTGATACCGCACCCCACCATCCCCCTGCCCCTGCCCCCTCCCCTTCCCCTGACCCTGCCCCTGCCCCTGTCCCGCGAAGCCCCCAAACCAGGCGGGGGCCAGGCCCACGCACCTGCATTGCGTCTGGCGCTGACCAGAAGAACTCTGGTGTGTCCAGCACTGAGCTGAGCAGGTTGACCGCCGACCGCTGCAGGAAGACCTGGGGGGGTTCAGGGTTTAGGGAGGCCGGGCGGCCGGGCGGCGTCGCGGACAGCGGGAGGCGCGCCGCATCCGAGAATTGGAGACGCTCCCCCGCGGCCGCCACGGGCGCGCCCGGCCCGGGCCTGCGCCGCCGCCGCTCGCGCCCCGTGGCCGCGCACGGCCTGCCTGCGCAGTCCTGATGGGGTCAGCCACCTCCAGCAGGGTTCAGCTGGAACCCTAAGCTCTGTATCTCAAGCCCTGAACCCTGCTAGCTGCACCCCACACACCCATACACACACACACGCACACACACACATACACACGCACACACACA